CGAGGCACGTGACGTCGCCCGGTACGGCGGAGCCGGGACCCCACCCTGGAGCCAGGCCTGGGGTTGGGGTTCGTCGGTGAGTGCCTGGTGGTCGGGTTCTTCCTCACGGGACCCGGCCGGGCCCAGCCCGAAGGAGCGACGCGAGGCCATCCCCCAGTGGGCCCACCACCTGCAGGGGGAACCATGAGGGACCGGTACAAAGAGGATTGGGCGGCAGCCAGAGGCGGAGACCTCGGCGACCTGATCCGCGGGCACTTAAACTGGCTAGAAGGAAACAGTTGAGGGCAAATTATTGGACTAATTTACAAAGTCAAAAAGAAACACATCCAACAAAAACAATATTAAGTTGGGAAAGCAGTAAAATTAAAAAGGAGGTATTTAGTAAGGGAATTATTCAGATAATCAAGGAGTTAGAACTCAATAATTGGGACGTTAGTCTAACTGTTTTAATGCCAGCTATACCATCATGGTTACTACCTCAACCCAGTGTTGATCTTTCTTTATTAAAGAAGATAAATTCAAGAAATAACATGTTTAGTATACAAACTTATGTGAACACTTTGATTCATGAGAGATATGGGTATTATGTACATATATTCACTGATGGGTCAAAAAATCCAGAGAATGGAAAAACAAGTTGTGCTTTTTACATTCCTGAATTAAAAGTTAAGGTGTTTAAAAGATTAACTGATCATTTGTCGATTTATACAGCAGAAATTATGGCAATCATGTTGGCATTATACTGGATAGAGGAAGTCAAACCCCTGAGAATACTAATATGTTCAGATTCAAGTGCAGCATTGACTAGTCTTAAAAATACGTTATCTAAATGTAGGGAGGATATTATGTTAGAAAATTTATTATCATTATACCGAGTACGTAATCTGGGGATTGATGTTCAGTTTTTATGGATTCCAGCACATAGTGGCATTAAAGGGAATGAGATGGCAGATTCGTTAGCTAAGAAGGGGTTGACGATAAATGGGGTAGAAGTAAAAGTACCAATTAGCAAAACAGAAATCAAATCGTACATACGAAGCAAAATTAAGGTACAGTGGCAAAAATTATGGGATAATGGAAATAAAGGAAGACATTTATATGGGATACAGCAAAAGGTGGGAGAAGAAGAGCCTCTTGGGAAGAGCAGGAGAGAACAGGGGATGTTTAGTAGAATTAGGCTAGGGCACACGAGGCTAAATGCATCACTGCATGTTATTGGGAAGCATCCAACAGGAAAATGTGACATGTGTAGTCAACCAGAAACCATAGAACATGTGCTGTTTGAGTATATTAAATATGCAAGTCAAAGAATAGATTTAAGGAAAGGACTGGAACATGAAGGAATCAAACAACTGGACATTAAAAAT